GTGGGGAGAGAGGCTGCAAGTCGGTGTCGCGATACGGAGCTCTCTGCCTATTGAACGGCAGCGGTTTCCACTAGTGCCCGGAGGTTCCGGTGGATCGCCTATTCCTGTGGATCGTTTGGCTCGGGAAGGCCGCGCAGAAGCATTGCCGCGGCGGCGATGTTCTGGCCAACCCGAGCGAACTGTGGGGGATCGTTCCCCTCGTCCATGATGTTGCGCTGGACCTGGCGGGCTCGACCCCGGGCGCCACTCGCCGGGTTACACGCACGGGGCGCGGCGTGGTGCGCCGAGCGCAGGTGGCGGCTGGCTCTGCTGCCGTTGTCGTAGCTCCTCGCCGTGCTTTTGTGTGAGCGCGAGGGCCCCCGCACGAGGGTCCGGAAGGGTGAGTCTGAAAGGACTCCGCTACCACCGGCGGCTGTCTTGGAGCGTCCGCCATAGCGCACTCCCGGGACGGACGGTGGCTAGGTGCCACGTCGCCGATGCTGGAGCCGTCGCTCTCGACATCGTCAGCCATGAGGTCGAGGAAACAGGTGGGAGCATAGCGCGCCATCCCCACGAATTCGGACGTGAGGGGTCGGCGCCAGCATCCTTCGGAACCCCCGGGCGTACGCGTCCACGGGGGACGCGTGGCCGTAGGGGAACCAGTCGCATGGCGGTCGCGGCAGGGACAACGGGGTCCCTCCGGAGAATCGGGGAAAGACAGTAAAGAGCGAGTAAATAACAGTACGTATATTACTCATAGTGGGGTTTGAGCAGAGCGTTTGCTCGGAATGAAGCGCAGGCGCCTCGTCGTTGAAGTCGTCGTGTGTCCCGGAGCCGATGGAGGGTGCCCCTCCGACGGGCGCCGGAACAAGTGCCTCCTCGTTGAGGTGTAGTACGCCGAACCGGTCGGCGATGAAGTCCAGGCTTCCGAAGAGGAAGGCCTAGGACGGCTCGAAGACGGGTGGAACCCACGTTCCATCAGGTGGGGGTGCGGGAAACTCCAACGAGCCGAAGCGAGTCGTATCGCTTGAGCCCGCCATGGTGAAGGTGGCGGAAAAGTGGGCCATCCGATGACCAAAAGTGTGAACGTACAACGTTTTCCCCACGAACGGCGCCAACTGTCAGTGCAGAAATTGACCAACACGTAAATATTTGTAGTTTTGCTGTACGTTGTGATCGGATGTGGCCTAGTACTCAATGACACACGATTTATACTAATTCAGGCAACGTGCCCTACGTCCAGTTTTAGTCGGTCGGTGACTTTATTACTGAGCCCAGGTGTTCGAAGTTTGCTGTGGGGTTACAAACGGAAGGGAGAAAGATGGGGGGTACAAGAGGTCCGGTCGGACTCTGGTCTCAAGGGTCGAGAGTGACGGGAGCTCCGCTATGTGCTAAGTGTTTGAGCGTGTGCTCGAGGTTTGAACCTAGTGGTTCTCCTGTTGTGTGTGTTGTTCGAGTTGTTGTGGGTGATTTTTTTTTTTTTGAGAAAGCGAATCCCCTTTTATAGATGAAGGGGGTGGCCTTATAAGAGAGAGGGAGAGAGAGAGTGTGTACGTATGCTAAGTCTTGTTGCCCACGTCGTCGGGTACAAGATGATTGTAGGTGCCCATAACACTGTTAATGTCAGATGCAGGCGGGAGGTTACGTCGTCTTCTTCCGGTATGGCAGATGTCGGTGCCTGCTACACTGTTGATGCCCAGAGGTATGTAAGAGGTTTTACCGTGATCGTCTAGTATGGGAGTTGCGGACGCCCACAACACTCTAGGACAAATGTCGGCGCTTACAACACTGTTTGGGTTCTGACATGCCTGAAAGGTTGCAGGGCACTCGTCTGACATGTCCTGTTGGCACTATCTTGCAGGTGTGCTGGGTACGGTCCTCAGTATTGCTGTTGACTTTGAGCGTACTGCTTTACTTGCTTCGCCCGTTTTTTGGTCCTCACCGAGCGGGCGTCCCCGGTCGGTTGGTCCCAGTCGGCTCCGACTGTGCTAGTCGCAGAAGAGCTGTGAGCAGAGGTTCGGCGTGTCCCCGGTCAGAGACGCAGGTCGGAGTTGGAAGCGGTGTTTGACGAGGCCTTTCGGTCGGAGAGGCGGGCCGGAGTCGGAAGCGAGCGTTGTTCCTCCTTGGCCAGGCCTTCCGGTCGGAGATTGGATCGCCCTTCTGGCCTGTCGTTATGTACAAAGTCGACACGGTCTCAGTCGGCTGAGAGTAGCTTTGATGCGAACGCCGAGTGTCCGCGTCGTTGGTTGTGGCCTTCGACATTCGCGGTGCTCAATGCGGCCAAAGCCAGGAGTGCGTGGCTCGTCGAATCGAGGAATGCGCTGTGTCGCGAGCCCTATGGCGCTCGTCATTCGCGTCATCCTTGTGCCGTGTCGTCGCATGCCACGGCCGAGGTCACGGAGTGCGACCTCCACATGCTCCCCTACCGCGTAGGGAAGTCGTGTTCGGGTCTAGCCCCCGGGGGTGGCACGCGGCTGTCGTGATGTCGTAGTTTTCCCGTTCGCAGAGGTGGGCCTGCTGGACGCCGCCTCCTATAGTGATGATTCCGTGAGGACCAGGCATCTTGAGCTTTAGGTAGGTGTAGCTGGGGACGGCCATGTACTTAGCATAGCATGTTCGGCCTAGGATCACGTGATAGGCGCCAGGGAAATCCGCTATTTCGAAGGTGAGCATTTCCATGCGAAAATTGGCTCATCCTCCTAACAAAACGCGTCGGCTTAGCTCTGGCTCGGGATTCGCCCCGAGATATGCGTCGATTCTGCATGCTAGCGCCCTTATTCTGCATGCTAGCGCATCAGAGTCGACGATCGTGGGATCGTCTCATGCTGGTCCGTGATCAGGCGTCGAGATGTGCGGTGGAGCCACATTCTCTTCGTTGAGTCAGCTAACCCAGGTGGTCGGCCACGAAGTCTAGGTCCCCGAAGCGCAGAGCTTGCCGGGGAGAAGACTGTTGACGGGAGCTGGCCCGTCGATGTCGGCGAACTCGAGGCTTCCGAAGCAGATGCGGCCGTCGGGGGCCACGCCAAGAGCAAGTCCGACATAAGTGCAGGGAGCCATCGCTTCCTTCTCACCAACAAGAGTGCACAACTATCCCCTACCTGGCCCGCCAACTGTCGATGTTTTGTAAACCGGACTAGTAAATTTATACGATTGCCGCGCCGCTCTAGGAAGACGATGGTAGCATCCAAAAGACACGAGGATTTATACTGGTTCATGTCGGAACCCTACGTCCAGTCTCATAGATGATCGAGTGCGCGTTTCTCGCTTGAATGCTCTGAAGTTTTTACAATAGGGGGTGCAAGAATGGTGAAAGAGGTAGGAGATCTAGAGCTAAGAGACGGGCTACCCGAAGGGAAGCTTTAGGAGCCCTTCTACGGTGTAAGAATGAATGAATGAGAGTTGGATTAGAATGGTTTCGGATGGGTGCCCTGGCCGCCCTTATATAGAGTTCGGGGTCAGCGCATGTACAAAGCAGTAGGTTCTCCCGACCGAAGGGTCGTGAACCTGAGAAAGGGCCTAGCTAACTTGGCTTGCAAGCTACGTCGTCTTGTGGTGCATGTCTGGGCGTGGTTGTCATCATGGTCTTGTGGCCACGTCACGGTATGGTGTGACTTGGTGCTACTGTGCCAGCCGTGGCGGCACTGTAGGCACGGTGGTGGTTCGCCAGCCGTCCTGTGCGACGTGGTTCTCGCCGTGGTCTTCGTTATTGCCTCCTGGTTTCCTGAGGCGTCGTACAGAAGTTGGTAGCCACCCCGGATCGTCGATCGCGTTGTTAGTTTGAGGGGCTGAGGGCCACGATCCCGATCGTTGGGGTCGTGGCTCCCGCGGTGGGTAGAATCGTACATGCGTCCCGTCGGACCGTATTTGGATGGTGGATCGCCGTACTGGTTGTCACCGCCGTGCGGTGTTGTCTTGTCTGCACAGTGTGGCGCAGGGATGACGTCTGACCGGACCGAGGTGTTGTCTTGTCCATGTGGAGTCAGAGTAGCGTGCTTACCTTTGGCAGATCAGGCGCGTTTGGTTGGGCTTGACCTCTCCCTGTTCCTCCCAGGGGTCGTGACGGTGAAGAGGTCGTGAGTCTTCTGTTCGTTATGCGGCTGAGACAGAAGGAAGGGGCCGTGGCTAACCCTGGCTTTGGCGTCTGGCCTAGTCCGCTTGGCTCAGCTGGGCCTCGGTCGTTAGGGCCTTTGCTAGCTGATATGTTGTGGGCCGTGTGGCCCGCCAACTAATCAGTGCCTTGAGACATCCCAGGGTCATAACCCCGACACACATGCTTAATCAACCATCTGTAGAAGCCAGGAGGGTTAGGATAAGGTTTTGGGTTAGTACCATCTTTTATTTTTCTTTTGAATTGCAATAAAGTTTTGGAAGGAAATTTGTCAAAAACAATCTCATTCATTGTTAGATGTTAGTCTTATTGTCCAACAAATGGTTGCACCTCCTATCAACAACAAAGCTTTATTTGAGCTCCTCCCCTGTTTGTACCACCTATGGAAAAGGTCGTGAACATCTTTGGGAGGTTGTAAGCCTAAAACCAAGTAAACAGCACGCCAAAGGAATTTAGCATAAATGCAATAAAAGAAGTGGTGATGAATTGTTCCGTTCTTGTAACAGAACATACACAGCTTGCTTCCATTCCAGTTTATTACAGCTAGCTAGCATCTCCTAATCAGAGATGCTATAAGGAATATGTTTAGCAGAGTTTAAGGCCAAATTGATTTTGAAATTCTGAGACATGTTTTGCTTCTTTTGAAGGGGAATTTGGTCTATATTGATAATGTTGGTAATGCAAAAAAATCTTCTGAACTTATTCAAATTGACAAACAATCTAAATGCATATTTTGAACAGAATAGAGGGATTGGATATCATAAATAGTAATGAGATAGGATGCACTGCAGTTTAATAAAAAAGTCTCCCATGTAAAAGCACTTCACTCTAAAAGAGATTTCGTTGAGAAGTCATTATTATTTTCTTGTGAATTTATGATTTGCTTGGTGCCAATATTTATTACCAATTACAGGCTTCCGAAGAAAATTCTGTCTTTGATTTCAAAGACTGGCAAATTCCACTTGGACGGTGTTTTAGGTGAATTTCCCCACACAAGACAACTCGATCTATTACCATTTTTCATATGCATTATTAGTTCCTTATGTTTTTACTATCTCATTGTTTCAATATCTTTCTGGAAATAGGAATGCAACCTTGCTTCCATTATTTATTTGGTTACGTGATGAGTAGCATGTTTTTTTTTCTTCTCCCTATACCATTGATTGAATTGATATGCCTGACTGTTGTGAAATTGTAAAATAAATTGCACTCCTTTTGGTTAGAAATAAGTGATGCTTTGATGTTGTCTTGACTCAGTCGTCCAAATGTTGACTGCAAAATACATTTTGTATATTGGGTTTGAATGTTTGAAAGTGATGTGAGCAGATTTGTCTTGAATAGTTTCATAAAAGCATACATTTGCTATATTTTATACACATTGCAATAAAAGTAGTAGTCAAAGTGGCACCCTCAAAACATCACTGCTTTGTGATTAGAACTTAGAAGCCCTTCAGCCATGCACAGTCAATTTGCACTTTTATGGAGCATTTCCAACCAATAATTTTAGTCAATCAAAAAGAAATTTCTTCATATTTTGTTCAGTTTATAAGTCAATTCTTAATAATCTTTCTCCTTCCCACAGCATCCAAAATATCCCACAAATCATATATTCTACTTAGCCCAACATATGTAAATATCGAACGTATTCCCATCCTTAATGCAGTGTTTCTGACTCCATGCAATTCTTTCAGATACTATATATTGTGTCAAAATGTATAAATTTCTCTTAGCAATTGGTGCTTCCATTTCAGATCACTTAAGTTATGGATGGTCTTGAGGCTTTATGGCGTGGATAACCTTCAAAGCCACATCAGAAAGCATATAGAGTTAGCCAAACATTTCGAACAACTTGTGATCTCTGATTCAAGATTCGAGGTAAAATGAATAAGAAACCAGCTAACTTCTTTTTGGTACTAGTAAACTCATCAGAAAGCACAATATATTTTCTTCTCTACCATAACTTGATATATGTCCAATTCATTATAACAATTCAGGTAGTGACTCCAAGGACCTTTTCACTTGTTTGTTTACGCCTTGTGCCCCTGGCATCTGACCAAGATAATGGTCGCAAATTGAACTATGACCTAATGGATGCCGCTAACTCAAGTGGGAAGATCTTCATATCACATACGGTGGGTCTCTAGGAAATCCTTCTGTACTGTTTGTACTCACGAAATGTTTTATCCACTGATAGTGCTTTGATTTCTCCCTCCTGTGAACAGATTCTTTCTGGCAAGTTTGTCTTGCGATTTGCAGTTGGAGCGCCTCTTACAGAGGAGCAACACATCAATGCTGCTTGGAAGATTCTACAAGATTTGGCCACCAAACAGCTATTAGGAAGTCCATAGATTAATTAGAAATATTGTACAGATCAGTTATTTGCCTCTCTGACAGACTGACTTCCAATCATACAACGCGTGCCTGCATATGTTTGTTGCCCAAACATGCGTGATGCACTTGATTGGAAGCAGATTTGGAGGTCTTCATTGTTATGAAATGCAACCCAATCTATTGCAATAGCTAGAGGGCCAAATATGATAACGGGCCAAATTTGGTTCGAGTCGCGGTCTCCTCGCATTGCACAGGCAAGGATAAGGCTTGCTACTAACATCCTTCCTCAGACCCCGCACATTGCGGGAGCTCTCAGCCCCGCTCTCTTGCACTGGTACGCTCTTTAGCAGTGTTGGGCTCTAGATCCGGCACAACGCCCAGCATTCACAGAGATTACTGGACAGCTTCGCTCCATGTCAGGTGCAGCAAATCAGACGAAGGCAACCAAATAAGATACTAGACCTTTGGACTTCATTATATTCCCTTGGTTTTAAATTATAAGTCATTTTGTTTTTTTATAGGTACATAGTTTTTGTTATGCATATTATATTTAAGTACATGATTAAAAAAACTATTGAATCTATAAAAGAGTCAAAACGATTTATAATTTGAAACGAATATTTTTCCTTTACAGAAGAGTGTATAAAAAGCTCATTCATTACACTTGGTCCTGCTGTGCAGTCTTCCCAAAAGATACGAAGTACTGTATTCTGCAGGCTGGAGAAAGTCAATGATGAATCTTATCTTGCTCTCTAGTCTCACATTTGGTGCAAGAGTCCATGTGGTGCATTTTATATCTTCATTGACAGGAAATCGGTACGTTTGTGACCGTGCCAAATCATGATACTTCATTCATTTTCATGAAGAACGAAACATGCAGGACAAGTAGTGCATCCTCTTGTACTTGCATTGTCACGGCACGTGCATGCGCGCCTAACTATGGCTGGGTGCACGTGTGTGAACCAGCTCGTCTTTCTAGGGCTGGCCGTGCACATGAGGAAAAACAGGACACTTTGGGTTTCGGTCAATGCATCTAGGAAGACACAAGGAATGGTGAAATTTTCAATAATTATGTGTGGGAGTCGTCATGGCTTAACTGAAGTTTGGCACACACAGTAGTCGGAGGGCCTGATACGTGATGTGGATAATGATATTTCTTTGAGGTGTAGTGGAGGTGCGGTGGAGTATAAGCATATCCTATGGCACTCCCAGCCTAGAAACTATGATAATTTCTATAGCTATTAATTACATTGCTACGTAGGCAATTTGATAACGTGGCGTGCGATTTATTGAAGAGAGAGGAAGAAATGAAGAAACTATGTCTAAAGTAAACCACGTCTACGCAACGAGCGAGACCGAAGAAACAAGTCTCGTCCATGTTGGTAGGAAATCATGGTTTCTTCCCGGCCTCCGACTGATCCCTGCGCCTGCCATGCATGCGGACGTGCCCTCCCCATTGGCCGCACAGCGCGCGGAACAGCAGGGCCGTGCGGACGCTAGCTCCAGCCGCGGGAGACCATCCTGCCGTGCCGCCGCGGACGCGTCCTCCCGGTCGGTCGTCGACGCTTCCGTCCGACCTCGCCGTCGCGTAACCTCGCCACGGCACCGAGCCGCTGCCTCAACGTACGCTGCCTTCTCTGACTACGGGCGTCCATGATGCACCCACAAGGCCGCAATTTCCCTCTCCGCCTCCGACTGACGTCCGAGCCCCTGCACGCCGGCACAGCAGCCACGCCCATCCGAGCCAAAGACTGTGCCCTCGTCGCGTTCTCCTCCGAGCAGCACCCCTTCGACAAGCCTCGGCCCAACGCCGCCGGCCGCCGCACCGTCCTACGCTCCGCGGAGCTCTGGCCGCGGCTCAACGCCGCCGCGCCGCCCTATCCACCCCGCCTCGATGCGTCCGACCGGGTTGCGCGCGGCCGTCTGGCTCCCCGCGCGCGGCCGCTCAGCGTAGTGGAGCTCCGGCCGCGGCCGCTCGACGCTCGCCTCCCCGCGCGCAGCCGCTCGACAAAGCTCCGGCAGCGGCCTCGACGCTCGCCTCCCCGCGGCTCGACACTCGTGGCCCGCCTCCCCGCGCCGGCTCGCTGGTCCCGGCACGTACGCGTAGGCTCGCGCATGGCCGGTCGGCACCGCCGCCGTGGAGGCCATGGCCCGTCTCCGCCACGCCCTCCTCCCTACTCGACTCCGCGGACGCCGCATAACGCCCGTGGAACGTGCCCGCGGCCACCTGCACGCTGCCGTGCTCTGGACGAGTCCAACGGTGAAAGGAGCTGAAGATCCGATGTTAAGCGGGGTGAATCATTGGATAGACCCAGGGTACAAAAACTGCATTGTGAACAGATAATTTCTTGGTACACTCTCTTAGGGGATTCAAACTATCCTAATTTCTGTATTGGGAGTGTCCTTATCTTACTCATCGAACAAATTAAAGATTTGCTTTGCTCACGCATGTGTAATATAGTTGATTTTCCGTGGATGGGTCCATTAGTTATGGCCTATGGAAAGTTGCCTATACCGTGTTAATGTCTCATTTTAAAATGTATTTTTTTGACCAGAGTTTTCCCACTCTGCTTCACTCAATTAGGTGAAATAATAAGCAGGTTTGCTTTATGCATGAGCTAGTCATCAGTATTTATAGTAGAAAATGAAATTGGGGGACGAAGATTTTTGGTTAATTAGGATCAGGATTTGCAGGTTTGGAGACTGCCGTTGTGAATGAATTGATTAGGGTGTCTCCTATAGTATCAGCGCATATGGAGAAAAGAGAGGTTGTAGCTAGCATCATTGAATATCGTGTTGTGAGGGATGCATAGTGTCTCTTGTCTTTTGTACTATTCAATGATTAAAAATTTGAGTGTATTAAACTAGATCATTAGAGGAACTCTTATTGAGTGTGTTAAAAGATTTTAGCATCATTGATAATAAGGCCAATCTTAGTGGGGTTTCATATCCCTGTTTCCAAAACTCATAGGTGTTAGAAATAGTATAAACAAGTTTCATTTCTATGAAACTCATTCCATCTCATAAAACTTTTATCACCTCTTTTAATTTAAACTATGCCATGTTAGTTTATTTAATACACATAAAAAATTTCATAAAACTTCCATTAAGACTAGTCTATGGGTAGTTCAACAAGGACATAATTGAAAACTATGTAGACCACCTAAAAGAATTATTATTATCAAACCTTCTTAAGTCATTGATGTGTTTAAAAGGTCATGCTTTCCAGAACTTGGTACCGGAGATTTATTTATCTCTTTGTTAGGGGTGTTGTCTGGCATTGTAGGCGCATCTTTGGTGGAATCGGAAGGCTCGTTTGGCTCCTCCGGCTCCTCCAGCTCCGGAGCCTGGCATTGCTAAGGAATGCACAGTACAACACAATGCATCTACTATGGTGGAACCGGACCAAAGAGCCGTACTTTCTATGGTGGTGTTTGTGCTTACGGTTTTGTTCTTAATGTGAGTGGTTTTGCTGATGTTACCGGTCTTCTATTGTAAACCTCTAGTACGTTGTTGTTTGTCTAATCTAGACATTTCTCTTTTAATATAATCAACCTGCTTAGTTCATTAAAAATAACTATGGCTAAGGAATCAGAACAGTCCGGGAGCTTGGAATTTCCACCACATAGTAACTAATATGAACATTACATTGCTATCACAACACATGGCACTTATTACTTTACGAATAGTCTATAGCAATGGCACATACAAAATTACTACGCGATGCTCATTCCAATAATGATATTCTACCTATTTTTGTTGGATTTAATTAGATTTGGACTAACCTTAAATTAAATAAATTCTAGACCACAATAAATGCTAGTACGTGAAACAAAGGATTAGCCATATGGATAGGAGAATGATTCAACTTAAATAACTATATACACGTGTATACATGCATTCTATGGTGTCACCTGTAGGTGCTTACGGTTTTCTCTCTCCTTTTGTTCTTAATGTGAGCGGCTTTTGGGCTGATGTTACTTGTTAGAGTTAGAAAGTCTAGCAGCTAGTCTTTGTAGTTGTGGTCTTCTATTTGTAAACCTCTAGATAAACTTTTTACTCGTTAATATTAAATTGTTGTTTGTCTAATCTAGACATTTCCTGTTTCTTTTAATATAATCAACCTGCTTAGTTCATTAAAAATTAACTATGGAGTAGGTGGATGTGGGTAATCAGAACAGTCCGGAGCTTGGAGATGCAATACCCGATCTATTTTTGAAACATTCCACATACATAACTAATATGAACAATTTAATTACATTGAAAAATATCAAATATATACCTATGTCCTTGCAATGGCACATACAAAATTACTACGCGATGCTCATTCCAATAATGATATTCTACCTATTTTTGTTGGATTTAATTAGATTTGGACTAACCTTAAATTAAATAAATTCTAGACCATCGCAGCGTGCAGACGGCGTAAAACGAGCGGGTGATGCGAACGGGGACGGCGAGGCGGGGTCCGTTCCACGAGTAGGGGACGTGGGCGGGTCCGTGGGGCTATTTTGGACATAATAATAGGCACCGAACAAGACGCCGCGGTTATATAAGCGACCACCGGCTCTGTCGCTCCCTTCCCGCCATACACCAACAAACCAGAGCGTCGTTCCTTTCCACTGCACACATACCCCTTGATCTTCGTCTCATCGTCTCCCCCTTCGCCGGCGTGCCATGACGACGAGGACGCGCCCTTGCGCCGCCACGACCTCGTTCCTGCTGCTACTACTACTCTCCTCCGCCGCGGTGTCCCTGGCCAAGACCGCCGGCAGCAGGGAGAGCAAGCAGGGCCAGCAGGCGGGCGCGAGCGTGTACGTGGTGATGGTGAAGGCCCCTGCCCAGGGCGTCAACTACAAGGCATACCAGATGCGCATCCTCGCCACCGCGCTCGGCAGGTACGCATGCCATGGCATGGCACCGCCGCACCGGCACCAGGCCACCAGCAGCTAATTAAGCATTTTTGTTTGGTCGCCTTCGTGTCGCCTTGATTGGAGGATCTGATTTCTCTTTCGTT